CAGTATTCATGTTCTTTATTAGCCATGGGGAGGCAGTTGGAGCTACGAATAGAGTTTCCCAACCACATTGATGTGATTCATTCCCATTGTATTTTAATTACACTTCCCAGTATATCCCTATTATATCCCATGATATATCCCTATTATAGATGGTCAAAAACTTTATCCCTAGTATATCATGATATATCCCTATGTTAATTACAGTTCCCATTGATGCGATATCATCCCTATTGGCCATGAAGTTTTTGACCATCTCAGGTCCCATTGCCTTGGCATCGCAGCATCGCAGGTCCGCTTCGAAGCCTTGTGTACGCCGAAGGTCCGCATCGGTGGATGGCGGGACCTGGGGACCCTGGGGACCTGAAGATCTTTTGGGAAAACCACAGGAGAATCCCGAGGGTACCATGGTTTATCATTAATGGGATTGTGGTTAATATGGTTAATTACCATTAATATGGTTAATATGGTTTAATAGGTATTGTAATGGGAGAAGCGTTTTTTATCTTAATGGATAAGCAAACCATCCGGCTTATTCACCATGGTTCATTTCATCATTTTCCCTATGATTTAATGGTCATTTGGGGGCTTATCCTTCATTTACCAGTGCTACCATCAGACAATGAAAATGGCCAGCTGGGAAATCCACGAACATTTAATGGGCGTTTAAATCGGAAAAACATCGAAGGTGCGGGATTTTTCATTGCCATGTTTGATTACCAGATGTTGAAAACCAAAATCCATCGGTTTATCAAACGGTCATCGACGAGTATTTCATGGCCGACTTGCGGGGTGATTTTTCCGCCATTTTCTGATGCACCCATCGATGCACCCGTTGCAACGGGGGGCATTGCTAGTGGTGGGATGCAACCCAGGCACTGGGATTTCACCAAAAAACTTTTTTTTTTTGCAACATGGGAATTGTTCAGCCGTCATTATGTTGCTTTACATATAGAAGTGGGACACATATATATATATATACATATAATTATATATATATGTTTCACCTGAAAAAAAATGACTTCAAATTGGTTGGATCTTCATACTTCCAGGATGATCTCCAAGGTCGGTGATGCTGACGGTATCTCAGATCATGTCCCAAAGAAAAAATCCCATACTTATGTATAGCAACCCTCCGAAAGATAGACAAGTAAATCTTGCCACTAAAATATATAGTGAATAATTGCTTGTCTATCCTTTTGGAGGCTACTATACAATATTTCAATATATTTCATATTTCTCCAAACCCACACAAATCCCCTTTTGAGATATACATGCAACGTCCCCACCATACTACTGGTCTGACCAAGTACATGTATTCAGGCTAGTGCATTTGTGATATGTATGTGTATATATATATATACATATATATATATAATCCACTCAGTCATATGGACGATGGGACACTTTACATGACCCCCCCCTGTATTTATTGGTTAAAAACCAGCATGTGTCCTGTAGATTTAGTAGATTTTCCAAACACACAATGCACATGTTTGCTGGTAAAATCACCCCTATGGACGATGGGACACTTTAGATGAATCCAAATTTCTTATTTGCGTGTGAAATTAGCCATGAATCCCATCATTTATCACATGTCCATTGATCAAATCATCATTTTCCTATGGCCTTCCTCTAAATTCCTATGATTTTCCTATGGTTTTGATATGGATTTTCCCCATGTTCTGGAAGATTCCCATCCGAAATCTTGCCAGTCCCGAGAGAACTCCAAAAGCCTGGCGGGGCGCACTGTGGGTCCCCTTGGCAAAAAAAAATGGTGGGGTTTTGGATTGGTGTTTTTTAAATAATGGTTGAACCCATCCAACATGGTTAATGTTAATGGTTCATGGTTAATGGATGGTTAATTGCTCATGGATTTTTTTTTAATGGTTTTTGATGGTGTTTAATGGTTGAATACTAAAAACATCGATAAATGGATGTTTTAAGTTGGATCAAAAGACTAAGAAATGTGGAGAATAACACCGGAAAGGTGCAAGTGTTTGAACGGAAGAAGGGGTTTTGGGAATGTTTTAAAGCCAACATGTGACCAGGTGTCCTTACCAACAGCGAGTAGGATTGAAGCAACGGAAATGGTTTTGAGCGCCTTGTATGGGGATTATGTCAGCAAAAACGACTGGGGTTCAAACCAAAGAATTGGGTATGAGTCGAGTCAAAAAAATAATGGGTCCAAGGTCAAAGGAGCAACCAAATCAGGCATCTCATTTTTGTGTAGAACTGCACCAGACCCATTTCAGTACTCGAAGTGGATTGTCTAAGTAACACATGGATCTTTGACTGGGCCATATGGGATTTCACCTGGAGACGTTGGTACTGGCATGGAAAGATCCTGAATGTGAACCCCTGGGTAAACTTTTTGTTTGTCCCCCGAAGCCCGACGCCGGATCAAGCTTAACAAATGTGGCACTTGTTGTCCAAGTTCTTTTCCCTTAAAACTCATCAATTGCAGGGTGTACTTCCAGGCTTCTTAGGTGACCCATCCAAGCCAGAAAAAAAATCTGGTCGCAAGTTCCAAGAACTGCTGGAGAAATCAGCAGGAAGGACCTGAAAAAAATGGAACCTTCACCCTTTGAACGTTGGATTGTCTGAAAATAGGCTACCCTGAAATCATGAACTCCATTGATGAAGAATCATTTTCCTTATTTAAACCATATTTTAACCACATTTAACCATCATTTAAACCATCATTTTCCATTTTTCCTTAGGCTACCCAGAAATTTTGAAGAACCACCATTTTTAAGACATACCCATGATGGTTTTCCTCAAGGACATCCGCCCTCGGTGACTTCCCAAGGAGACTCCTGAGCATCCCAAAGTGAGGGCAAGGGCCAGGCGACAAAAAGGAGTCAACTCGACAGAAGCTGGTAAGGGTGGATTTCAATCGGGTAAATATAGTTATATATATATATATATGTTATATGTATATACGTATATATATATATGTATATATATATATATATTGTAATGGGATAAATACATACCATTGTCATCATTGTCTTGCACATTGCACCTACGCATTTCCCAAAATTCTTAGAGGTAGCTCTGCAAATTGGGGAGTTTCCTGTCGGCCGTTGACTGGATTGTCCAAGTTAACCATACCATCTTTCTGGTGCTCCGGCTCGAGGCGAATCCAGGTGCGAAGTAGGGGAGAGACTTCCACCTTTGCTGGTTTCCCAGTGAAGATGTATCAGTGTGACAGTCTCCATCAATCTATTCTTCTGGAGATAAAACCTGACATATAGCAGCTATAGCAATGTTTGTAAGTATGTACGCGCACATGCCTGAAATCTTTCCTCTCCCCCCTCTCTTTGTGCACAAAGATCAAAGGCCCCCCTCTCTCTCTCTCGTTTTGTGGATACAATGATATGAAATGATATGAACACACAAAGAGCCACCTATCTAGGGTGTATGTATGTATATGTATATATATATGATATGGATGAATTATATCTCTCCAAAAATGGTATTTTCGGGGTAAATCATTCTAATTCACCTACGTATAATATATATATAATATACATATATATATAATATATATACATACATACAAACATACATACATACATACATACATACATACATACACAGTTACACACATACAGATAGACATTTCAACATCTCCAAGTTTTCTGAGTCCAACTGCCGCACCTGGCGCCAGGTGCGCTAGATCAGTGGAAATCCCATGGGGAAACCCTAGGAAAATCATCTAGAAATGGTGAGTGAACACCACATTTGTGGTAGTCTTTTGTGGACAACAAATCCAACCAACAAATCAGCATAAAAGTGGAAAACACGTGTTTTTGTTTTCAAACCATGAGAGAAAACCATGTTTCAGTGTATCTAAAAACAAGTCAAAATGGCTTTGTCTGAAAATGGGCTACCCCAAATCCAGTTATATCGAAAAGCCATTGGGAGGTTCACCACTACATATTTTCAGACACCCCCAATGAAATATATCAAGTTGGTTAGATCCACTAAAATATCCCCAGTAATCAGCAATGAGGTGCACCAAAAATAAACCGCCCCAATATTGGAGGTTTATGGCATTGGGTTTACCTCATTCATATCCCAAGTTGGTTAGTTATATCATCTTATATCCCATGAATATCACCATTCACTCACCATGTTGGTTGGATACATCCCCCATAAAACCACCATAAAATCAACAACATATCAAACTATCCCAAGGAAACTTGCAATTCCAAAATTTTGATATGATAAACCCACGGTTTATATGTGGCATATGGAATTCCATTCTGATACCCTCTGGTAAACTAACAGTTTGCTATTGAACATGGCCATAGAAATAGTGGATTTTCCCATTAAAACATGGTGGATCTTTCCAGTTCGCTATGTAACAAATTACCAGAGGGTAACCATCATATATCCCATAAAATCCCATTAAAATCCCATTAAAATCCCATTAAAATCCAATTAAAATCCCATTAAAATCCCATAAAATCCCATTAAAATTCCATAAAATCCCATTAAAATCCCATTAAAATCCCATTAAAATCCCATAAAATCCCATTAAAATCCCATAAAATCCCATAAAAATCCCATAAAAATCCCATAAAAATCCCATAAAAATCCCATAAAAATCCCATAAAAATCCCATAAAAATCCCATAAAAATCCCATAAAAATCCCATTAAAATCCCATTAAAATCCCATTAAAATCCCATTAAAATCCCATTAAAATCCCATTAAAATCCCATTAAAAATCCCATAAAAATCCCATTAAAATCCCATAAAAATCCCATAAAAATCCCATAAAAATCCCATAAAAATCCCATAAAAATCCCATAAAAATCTCATTAAAATCCCATTAAAATCCGATTAAAATTCCATTAAAATCCCATTAAAATCCCATTAAAATCCCATTAAAATCCCATTAAAATCCCATTAAAATCCCATTAACATCCCATTAAAATTCCATAAAATCCCATTAAAATCCCATTAAAACGGATATACAGTGGCTCGCTTCCAGGGCCATGACTCCATGACCCTCATCCAGTGGCCGGGTCTGTTCGACTCACGGGACTCCGGGACTCCCGGCGCTCTGCGGTCGAACTAGAAGCAATAGGCAAGCTGAAGAGTTAATCAGGGGGAAAATAGATGATATATCTATATATATATATAATATATCATAATTATATATATATATATATATAAAAGTTCATGATATATCTAACTATGAAAAAGGATGATCTAACCATTGAAAATGAGGACTTGGCCGTTCAAAATGCTTGAGCCGCCAATGCCCAGTGAGCCTGGCCCCGCAACTACGCCATGGTGAGGGTTGATTCTGTACCATCTATGGTATGGTTGAAATGAACCACAAATGCCAATCATGGGGATGAATCGCAACTTTCTGGTTTCGTGGCCAAATTGGTGGTTGTATTCATTCAGTACATGTCTTTTGTGACTGAGATAAACATCCGCAACTTGCTGCTTCGTGGTTGCATTTGCACACATATACATCTCTTTTTGATGCGTATCATCATCATATGTAATTTATAGGTACGTGTATATATATATATACATACATAGTTTTTTTTTTCATACATCAACACACACACACAGACATAGCCTATGTAATGCATTGTGTATGTATGTATATATATATACATTGCATATCTTATTGATCAATACATGTGTATATATATATATATACACATAAAATATCACACACACACATATATGTATACATAATATGACACATATACAGATACATGCATATACATATACGTATACGTATACGTATACGTATACGTATATGTATATGTATCATATATATCCTCTATCCTGTAGATACCCTCATGGTTTAATGTGCATATTTAGTTGTGAATATATTTATCCACGTGAGACGATGGGAATTCACCGCAGGAGAACCTGGCAGAGTCCAAGGAAGCCCAGGCAGGGGCAGGGCCCGAATGTCAAGGGGATTTGACTGGGCAAAATGGAGAGTTTACCATGTAGACTGTGGATTACACTATGGAAAATGGGGAGTTTACTCTGGAAACTGTGGATTTTACCATGAAAAATTAGGAGCAACGAAGAAGATATTGCTTTGGATCACAGAGATTTCACCGGCAAAGAGGGGGAGCATGACAAACCCACATGTGCCATGGTCAAAGCCAGGTTTTTCGGGGTCATTAATCCCCTAATAGAAATTAACGATGGCCATTCTGAGGATTTCCATGATCCATATACCATGTCTCGAGCACGGCACATATGGGTTTGTCATGGTTTGTCTATACCCCAAAATTGCAATTTGACTGGGGTTCATGATATACACATGAATATATATATTATATTATATATTATATATTATATATTATATATTATATTATATATTATATATTATATATTATATATTATATATTATATATTATATATTATATATTATATTATATATTATATATTAGATATTAGATATTATATTATATATTATATATTATATATTATATATTATATATTATAAATTATATATTATATATTATATATTTATAATATATTATATATTATATATTATATATTATATATTAGATATTAGATATTAGATATTATATTATATATTATATATATTATATATTATATATATTATATATTATATATTATATATTATATTATATATTATATATTATATATTAGATATTATATATTATATTATATATATTATATTATATATTATATATTATATATTATATATTATATATTATATATTATATATTATATATTACATATTGTATATATATTATATTATAATATATATATGTATATATTATAATATGTACATATTATAATATATAACGTGTACATATTTATATATATATATATATATTGCTATAAATATATAGGCTCAAGGCTGGGGGTTCCCCGGAGCTTCGAGGAACCCTCAGTCTTGATGCTATACCAGAAAGGTCGTTCTTGTATACAGATGGGGGGGGTGGGGGGGGTGTAATAACGTCATGTGAAGTGCGTTGGATGATGTTGAATCCTGGAAGATGTTGCTTGGTTAGCATGTTCCACACATCTTTAGTCATCCATGAGAGATGTAAAATTTTCCTGTTTCAGCACGGACAAACGTCAAGTTCTTCCGCGATGAAAATGGAAGTTCGATTGATCAAACCATTTCAGAGAAAAACATAAAACACTGTAAAACACAGTGTAAAAACAACATTTTCCATCGCCATGCCAAAAAAAGGTTTGGGAAAGCGAAGATGAAAAATATGTGATGTTCATTTCGTCCATGGTTCTCCAGTGGATTATGACATTTTGTACTTATCAACAAAAACTGAAACATGTATGAAACCGCAATTCCAATGGGAAAAATGTTGAACGCATTTTTGGCCATCCATGGAAGATGTAAATTTATCATTTTTCTGCACGGACAAACTCCGAGTTTATCCGCGCCGACATTGATACTTTCACTGATGGAACACTTTCAAGGGAAGGCAAAAAAACACTGTAAAACACAGTATAAAATCAACATTTTCCATATCCATACAGTTAAATTGCAATTGGCTTCCGGGGAACCCCCAGCTTCCGCCCAATATATATATATATACACACATAGTTCATGGGGGCAATAAACCAACTAGCATCACTGGGGCACCACCTTGCAGAAATCGCCGCCAGGGCCAAGGGCAAGCTCCAGGCGCTGCTGCCTGGAAGCTTCAGGGAGTAGCCTCCAGTTCATAATGGTCAATAACGGTTGATGATTGTTTCTGATTAAATGTGATTAAATGTGATTAAATGTCTGATTTGATATAGTGATTTTGGTAATGTTGATTAATGTTGATTAATTTTGATTCATGGAGTTAGCCTCCAGCGTGTGGAACGTAGCAATGGGACATCCACGATAAATGGAGTTAGTTTATTTGGTAAATCAACCATGAACAGCAGTCATTGAAAAAAAAGTTTTTTTGGGGTATTGAACCATACCCAGGTTCAGACGGCTTCAGCTCAACTTGATGAGTTGTTTCCAGTGTCATAGGAACACGGGATATCGCAGGCGTTTGGATATTTCGTTTCCAAAAAAGGCAGAGCATTCTTTGGGTGTGGCCAATGGGTCAAATTCCTTTTCTTTCTTAGTTGTTTGGCCATCTTGCGGATCCAGTTTTACTGGGTGAACTTTTCATTGGGTTCCCTGGGTAAACCTTGATGGGAGGGAGGTGTCATATCTTAGATGCTTTGGATGTGTGAGCTACATCCCATTTGCAGGTAAATCATACTGCAATCCATGAAGTATTCGACTTGATCCCCAAAAAGTTAGAACATCCCTTGCCCCCGAGTGGTAGATTCCACCCCTCTGGTGAAGTAGATTGGGATTGTAATTGTATATAATCAATTTGATCAACCATTTAAAGAACATAAAACATTTTTTTCCTAAGCACTTCGCCAACCAATGTATCAACCATTATATCAAACATCATATCAACCATTTCGCACACCAATTTGACCAGCCATACCTTTCTTGGGTCCAAAAAGGGGAGATGGTTATGGCCAATGAAGCAGGTGAAGCAGCCAGCGTTGCAGCCAATGCAGCCAGCCTTGCAGATAGCCTGGACATGGACAGATGGCGATTTCCAAAACAAACACGTTCCCTGCAACGCCCACATTTGCCCGCGCTCTACTCGGAACAATATTTCCATACTGCAGAAAACCTTAACCTCCGCTTTTCAGAACAACACACCCCAAACCCTAAAACCATCACCCCTAAAATAGCCTAAACCATAAACCCTAAAGCACTAAACTCCAGAACTCTAAAAACCTATACCCTAATACTATAAAACTTATATAAGTCTAAATCATACGAAACACACATATTTGTTCAAGCAAAATATGCATGGTGAGATGCCGAAATGCATGCTTGTTGCAAGGGTAGGAATGGTGTGTGGGTGAACTCAGGGGTTGGCGCCAACACTTAAAAAACAGGCTTTACGCATGCTAACAAACCAATTGATTATGGGGATTTAAACAACACAAATTGGGTGTGACCCGAAGCAAAATTGGGTATTAACCACCCTAACATGGGATTGCACCACTTGCGAGTTGGGGTTTAATCAACAAGATCATGACACCAGATAGGACTGGGAACTGTCACCGACAATCAGTTGGTAAGCACAATTAAATCATGGGACATCCAACAACAATAGTAAGGTGTTTTCTGGGCAAACCAGTTTCTATGGCTTGATGTTGGGGCATCTTTCAGTGGGTGGCCAAGGGTTTTTCCATCATCTTGCTGCTAAACGCAGGGACATTCGGGAATGGGGGAATGGGATGATGGTGAAAGTAGTACCCTCTGGTAATTTAACAGTTTGCTATTGAAAATGGCCATTGAAATAGTGAGTTTTCCCATTCAACATGGTGATTTTCCATAGTTATGTAACAGTTTACCAGAGGGTAACCATCATATATCCCATTAAATCCCATTAAAATCCCATCAAAATTCCATAAAATCCTATTAAATCCCATTAAAATACCATTATGGTGATCTTCCCCCTGGTATGTTGCCTCATTCCCCCAAACCCCATCCCAACCCTCAACGGTCCACGTGGCGACAGGAGCCTGATGGCACCTGGGGCCACTGGAATGAGGCGCCGGGGGAAGAGTACCAGAAATCTTGGCACCAGGAGAACCAATTCAGATTTGGAAATGATGTGATGTGATATGATGGCATAATTGTTCTCAATGTCTTTTCAGCCTGGAATTTCTATGTTTGGACAGATGTATCTCAGGTGGTAAAGGTTAATCACATGAAACATAAATCCAGATATAAATGGGCTATACACCAGATAGAGAGGCGTCTCAAATTGGCAACCTCCAAAATCCTAGGGTTTATCATCGATTTCCCCTCCAGCATGTCCATTTCGGGCATAAAACACACGGGTCAGTAGTATTCATGAACTGCTGCTAACTGGTACGCACTTCAAGTAGGATGGAACTTTTGGACCTTTGGACTCGCGTGCCTGTGTTAGGCGTCAGAGTTAGGCGGCAGATGCATCCTAACTGTGAACCAAAACTGGACGTGGCTCGCAAAGTGATGAAAACCAGCAAACCTACGGAAAACGCAATGCACGGATGAACGGATGCAAAGGGACTAAGCACCAGGGCAGTGCAACCCTATGAATTGTCATGCACCAGCCAATGACGGAGTCGTGACCTTGTAGCGCCTACTCATGTTACCACTGCGCATGGTAGTGGAGCCCTGCGCAGAATGGAAATAATCCCACAGAGTCTGGAGGACTCTCATGCCGCAACGAAATTTAGGTGCCCCCCGCAGACCATAGTGTTGCTGAGAGTACCCAAGCTTAACCAAAGATACACAACCCCCATAGTCTTTCTGGGGCAGTTTCGCAATGATATCTTAACCAAGCAAGTGTCTTGGTCCACACACGGCTTTGATCACGAAGTGAACACTGCATGACATCAGCAAGTGGACATAAATCAGGGAGCTTATAGGTGTGGGTACGCTTATCCATGAGAGATGGGGTAACAGTTCCCGACCACAGGGTGAAATCAATGTACACCTCCAAGCATGAAACGTCCGGTTGAGAGAAATCCCATTCCAGGTTATGGAAGTATCTACAAACCCGACTGGCAAATTGTGGCGTGTACCTGCATTTGTTGATGGCGTCCTCTGACACACAACAAGGAATTTGAACAGCCTGGGTGGCATCAAACGACAACTGGAAAACTGGCCCAACTGTTTCAACAACGTTGCCTTTGGAGCGACCAGCTCGAATGGCTGCCTCATTCATTTCTGACCACATGACATGAAATTCCTTGAGCATGGCAATATCGTTGGATCTCTGAGCACACCTTAAGTTGATTTGCTTTACCAACTCTTTCCACGTTTTCTGAAGGCATCGGCGCGCAAGAGCATCAGCTTTGTCATTCATGAACGAAAGCCATCTGTAAAATGGATCAGAGATGGTTGAAATATGATTCAAGTAGGATGGAACAAATCTAATGACCTCACAGCGACCTCACCGTAAATGATGCCTATTTCTGCTTTGCACATGATTATAATTTGCCCAGACGTCCTCTTCCCCCCTGCTCTTCCTCTTCCTCCGCCTCCTCCTCCTCCTCATCAACAACAACAACAGCAACAGCAACAGCAAACAGCAAACAGCACCAGCAGCAAAAGCACCAGCAACAACAACAACGACGACGACGACGACGACAACAACCACAACCACAACCACAACCACAACCACAACCACAACCACAACCACAACCAACAACAACCAAGAACAACCAACAACAACCAACAACAACCAACAGCAACCAACAACAACCAACAACAACCAACAACAACCAACAACAACCAACAATAACAACCAACAATAACAACCAACAACCAACAACCAACAACCAACAACAACAACAACAACAACAACAACAACAAGCACCAACACCAACACCAACACCAACACCAACAACAACAACAACAACAACAACAACAACAACAACAACAACAACAACAACAACAACAACAACAACAACAACAACAACAACAACAACAACAACAACAACAACAACAACAACAACAACAACAACAACAACAACAACAACAACAACAACATACAACAACATACAACAACATACAACAACATACAACAACAAACAACAACAAACAACAACAAACAACAACAAACAACAACAAACAACAACAAACAACAACAAACAACAACAAGCAACAACACAACAACCACAACCACAACTAACCACAACAACCACAACAACCACAAAACACAAACAACCAGGCAAACCCAACACACCAACAACAAAAAGACAAACAGATAGAAAGAGGAATAAAACTAAAACAAAAAAAGAAAAAGAGAAAAAATTAAAGAAAAAAGCACCAAGTAAAAACAAGCAAGAAAAAAGAAAGAGAATAAAGAAAGATACAAAGAAAAACAAGGAAGAATAAAAGTAAAAGAAGAAAAGACGAACAAGAAGAAAAGAAAAGGAAGACATAGAAAAAACAAGAAAAACAAGATAGAACAAGAGAACAGGAAAGAAAGGGACGAACAAGGAAGAAAAGGATAGAACAGGAAGGTCAAGAACAGGAAGTAAACAGGAAGAAGCAGGAAGAACAGGAAGAACAGGAATGAACAGGAAGAACAGGAAGAACAGGAAGAACAGGAAGAACAGGAAGAACAGGAAGAACAGGAAGAACAGGAAGAACAGGAAGAACAGGAAGAACAGGAAGAACAAGAACAACAACCAACAACAACAACAACAACAACAACCAACAACAACAACCAACAACAGCAACAGCAACAACAACAGCAAACAACAAACAACAAACGACAAACAACAAACAACTCGCAAAACACAACAAACAACACACAACACACAACACACAACACACAACACACAACAAACAACAAACAACAAACAACAAACAACAAACAACAAAAACAAACAACAAAACAAACAACAAACAACAAACAACAAACAACAAACAACAAACAACAAACAACCACCAACAACAACAACAACCACCACAACCACAACCACAACCACAACCACAACCACAACCACAACCACAACAACAACCACATCGACAACCACCACAACAACAACAAACAACAGACACACAAACAAACAACCAACAACAACCAACAACAACCAACAACAACCAACAACAACCAACAACAACCAACAACAACCAACAACAACCAACAACAACCAACAACAACAACAACCAACAACAACCACATCAACATCAACATCAAGGAACGAGCATAATTTATGTCTTATGATGTTTGATTAAAGCAGCCTCGATCTCATTGCCGAATTTCCTAGGTGGATAGCCCTGCCATCCAGATCCCGGCACAGCCGCGCATCCCGCTGCCCTTGGAACAGGAGGTGTCCTTGCTGGGAGGAACCCGACCATGAGATAAACGGTTACATGAACCATAAAAAATACCGAGGTTGATGAGTTATTCAGGGGGATTATGCTACCTGATTCGGTGGGGTTTGTTACAACCCACAATAGGAATCTGCAGGATCCCTATATGAATCAGCCAGTATAAAAGGATGGGAGAAGGGTAGTTTTCATGGATCATATGGTGATTTGTCACAACAAACACGTGACTGCAAACATGGGGTATATACATCTGTAGATATGTATAATAAATGTATGTAATGGGGATATTGCAGGGTATTATGGGGATATAGTGGAGGTAGAATGAGGATTTACTAAGGTTATTCTGGGTAAACTCTGACGACCTTCCCGCGACGTCGTACGGGTAAAGGTCCTGGAGTGGTCAAACTCTTCAGGTAGGGGGATAATTACAGCACAACTTCTGTACTCAAATTAAACGTAATCGGAGTTCTGAACGGAGTTTTCCTAAATTGAGTGGGATATATGGGATTTGATGGGATTTCTTGATTTCTTACAAGTGGTATATATATAGATTACATAGTGGGAACCTTCAACATAGATAAACTGGGAAATCATCAGAATCCAAGAAATGGTTGGCAATATGTTGCAATCCCTTCCCTTAATCATCAATCACCCCTCAATCGAACTCCTGGTTTAGTATTGGATCTATTCATGAATTGGGGCCGATTCCGGGGAACATTTTCTATCACACCAGGAAGCCGGGATGAGTTCAGCTCCCATGGAATCTCCCAGCTTGTAGCGGTGTAATCACCCAGCTCCTCCAGGGACCATTTGTGGTAGCCAATGCCAGGTGCCCAACGAAATGGTGGAGATGGTTCGGTCCTCCAGCAGCGGGACTCGATCAGGCGGGAAGGGTTTTTTCTCATGTTGAGGTATTCCAGTTTTGAGAACCTACCAAGTGGTGTTCTTTCAACTGGCAGTGATCTCCCAAATACATGTATATATATATATATGTGTATACATATGTATATTATATGTAATTATATTATATGTATATTATATGTAAAGTATATGTATATTATATGTATATTACATGTAAATTATATGTATATTATATGCATATTATATGCATATTAAATGTATATTATTTCTATATGACCATTTGCCAAAAATAGTTGACAGAAGTTTTGTACCAGTTGTTGAAAATTAGTGTGGACGTAGTTGTTTTTCTTCTTCGTTCTCAGGCGGCACGCAACTAAATTCACTATTTCTGCAAAGCAGCGCTAGCAAACCTGCCAGGTTTGCGCTATTTTTTTTTCACACCCATGTTCAAGGATATGTTTTATGTGTTCCCGACTGCTTGTTATTTCAACATGAAGAAAATTCGAGATGTAACACTTAGGTCCTTAAACCTAAGGATGTCTTAGTGATTTTCTGTGCTACTCAACAAGTTTCTTATATTCCCCACCTGCCAGGTGAGGGTTGTTAGATTTTATGTCAGTTGCCTCCTCCTGCCTCGTCCTCCTCTCGTCCTCCTCTCCTCCTCTCCTCCTCGTCCTCCTCGTCCTCCTTGTCATCCTTGTCGTCCTCTCGTTGTCCTCGTCGTCCTCGTTGTCCTCCTCGTCCTCCTGCTCAACTGCGACTCGCGATCCACAGTGTTCGCTGCCGGACCTCAACCACGACCACCCACGCCCAGTGTTCCCTGCCGGACCTCAACCACGACCATCCACGCCCAGTGTTCCCTGCCGGACCTCAACCACGACCATCCACGCCCAGTGTTCCCTGCCGGACCTCAACCGCGAGTATCCACGCCAAGTGTTCCCTGCCGGACCTCATGTAGGAAGATATGGAACAAAGAATGTGCAGAAGAAAGTTAGAAAGAATGTCAGAAAGAATGTCAGAAGATATGCCAGAAGATATGCCAGATAGAATGCCAAATAGAATGCCAGATAGAATGCCAGAAGATATGTCAGAATATATGCCAGAAGATATGCCAGATAGAATGCCAGATAGAATGCCGGAAGATTTGCCAGATAGAATGCCAGAAGATATGCCAGATATAATGCCAGAAGATCTGCCATATAGAATGCCAGAAGATATGCCAGATAGAATGCCAGA